TCGATTGTAAGCAATGCTACGGCTGAGCGCCAACGTGCGTGGTGCTACGGGGGTTCCTTCTGGACTTGAAAATTACCATCGGTTCCGCCCGGCAAGGCAAACCGTCTTCTTCTCAGGGTGCTCAATCGATAAAAATAAATGCTCCGGCTAACTCAAATCGGTGGGCTTTTAACTCTTTTGAAACTGCGTAACAAACCTTGACCTGCCGCCTACCAATCTCTTGCCTCAACTCCTACTCCTCCCTTTCCTTCCCCTCGTTCTTCGTTAAAGACATAGGCACATTGGAACCAAATAGATAATATATTGAAATGATATTAGAGATACAAACAATTTACAGGGATCTAGTAGTTCTTCTCTCCTCCTTGTAAAACCACTAGCTTAACAATGACAACTAAACTAAATAAAAAATCCTAACAGGTGAGACTAATTTACTCAAGGGGTGGCCATCCTCTACAGTTTGAAAATTGCAACAACAGGTAATCGTTTTTTAATCCAGCGTGGGCTGGGACTTATTTAAATAAACACAAAAATGTATCCTACTCTTTGGTAATCGTTCATTGGACTTTAATAAACAATCAAATCAAAAATTTTTTTACTATAGCTTAATTACCAAAAAGTGGAATTTTACAGAATGTTACAAATTTCATTTAGACTAACCTTTACAACATTTGTACAGCCGATCTTGTGAACTGCTCTTTCCTCTGGTACAGGGTGGATGTGATGAAACCTGACCCTTAGGTCTCTGTGACTTCCTAGGGGGTGGCTTGAATTTAACACACGGAAACAAAAATCCACGGTGCCTATCCTTCCTCGGAACGAAAGCAAAGTTTAGCGTTTGAACTGAAACTTAGTCCAGGAAATCCTTCGCGTGGCGAGTGGGAGACGGCTAGTTGCCAAAATTTCTACCCAGCACGTGTATTTAATTTTATTTTATTAGTTTATTAGCTTTGACCGCCTGCGGGAGACGGATTTTTGAGTTAGCGGTACGGCAGAACACAAACTTTTATGATCACTATCCGACGGTAAACCGCGATGGTTCGACGTATTATTTCACCAGCTCTTCTTGGGGCAAATATCTCTCCGAAACGCAGCGCTCCTTCGACAAATGACCGTACGGCACTAGTAGGAAATTCCACCTGGGGCGGATCCCGAAATTCTGCGCCTTGAGGACTAGGGCAGCACTTTGACTTATATATCCTCGAGAAATCACAACGTATCCTAACGCGATTCACTGCATCCAAGTAAACTGGGGTGAAGCTCAAGGGTTCGCCAAAATATCACCTGATTGGAACCTGGGTCTTCTTCGCCAAAAAATCAACGCGAAAAGAAAATAACACTTCGAAACGGGTGCAAAAAGCACGCAACTGCGAGCAACCGAAATAAGCCGGTGGCTCAAACCACCAAGTGTACCAAAACGATCGCTCAAGGTACGTGTTGACCGCTTGACGTACTAACCGCGAGTCTTTCCAAAAACGATCCCCTTCTTCAGAATTGAAATGAAAAAACCACACCCAAATTACCATAAAACAAAAATGGCTCCCGCTAGAAATTCTCCCATTGGTTCAGATAAAGAAGACTTAACCCACTCTAACTTCGTCGTCAACCTCAAGGAACTGCTGACTAAACTGATCTCACGGTTTTCTGCTGATGACGTGAAAACTCCTTATCTCTTGACGGCTCGGTGCTACATCCGCTCCTATTCTCGGTCCAGACGGCGCCAAAGTTGATAAACGAACGACAAAAAACTCGCATTACTCATGATGACGTCAATCAGCTTTGCACTCTTCCCACGACGAAATTAAATCTGAGCGAAATTAAATCTATCGGACCATAGTCTTGAGCGAACCGAAATGCCCAAACACAAAATTTCTAACCGGAACAAATAATGAAATATACAGGGTGACATGCACTATCATGACAAGGAATTTCGAATTTTTTAATGAAATTTGGCGCGAAATAAAACCACTCGTTACAGTGGTGACGTCACAGCAACGTGGCGGTCATTCGAAACTTTTCAAACGCCGTTCATTTTAAAATCGTGTTTGCTAATCACAACGATTTCTCTTGACAAAAAAATGAGTACCACTAATTTTTTTAATGTGCTTGGAGTTCATTTTCAAGGTTTTTGAAAAAACGCGGAAAACCCAATATCAAACTAGGTGCTTAATTTTTTTGTCTTTTAGGTACATCTTTCCATAAATAAGTCTTTTTTGTTACCATTTTCTATTTGTGTCGAGTATTTATGCCGCTTCGTAGCGAACGTGAACGTAAGTCTGGAGATAACAAGCGATATGAAGAAACGTAATAGGGAAAACGAGCGCGGTTATCTCTTCGGACCTAAAAATTGCGTTCATCCTAATTGACCCGGTTGAAACAGCTGGTTTTCTATTAGTTGTTAGAGGCTTTCCAGTCGAAGTCATTACGTTTAGAAACGAAGGACCGATTCGTTTTTTTTCTAGGGGGCGAGATCAAACAGCTAAAAGTGGAAGAACGATGATGTTTGCGAGAAATCACGTACGGGTGCGTGAAAAAATTGATTCACGGTCGTCATTTTTATCTGCGTTGTGAGAAACATCCTGCCGTATATATGAAGATACGCCGTTGAAATTTGGCTGACTAGATAGTGCAATTAGTAAGTGAATCGAAAGAATTAGCTGTTTAACTTCGGGTAAAAACAACTTACTGCAGTCCAGAAGGTATCTGAAGGTCTGGATACGGTAACCTTAGACTGAAGTTGTATTTCGAGATGAATTCCAGCATTTACCTCTGCACGGGCGAAACAGTTAGCGACAAAAAGGCAGATTCATACACAAAGAATTTAAATCGCTAATCAAACTAAATGAGTTTAAATATATCTACGTCGGTGTCTGTAGGTACGCTAACGGTACTTGTCGTTTGAAATTAAGAGATCAGACAGCTCAGAATGGACGAAAATACCATAGTGGAACCTCCAAGAGAAAAGCAAAAAAAAAAACGCTGAACAGCGAAGGAATAAATTCGCTAAAAACTAAAATTGATCAATTCCTGAAACCTTCACAAGCAATTCCTGCAGCTAGTCCTAACCATCAAGTTTTTTTTTAAAGCTCAGAGTCGAGTAACATCAGAAGATCGATATGAGGGTGCTATCTTTATTAAAGAATCCGAATCTTCCGGGGTGTATTTCTAGTGAACTTTGATCTATATATTTTTAAGATGGGCGGGCCCTTAAAATGAAGTTACGTCACTCCTGGCGTTCAAATAGTGTCGTTGAAGGATAGATAGAGGATTCCATGAATTGTAATTTCGAGAATCATCATTGAGCAATCATTAACAATCATTAATAATAAATCTGGCTAGAATTGGGGTACAGGCTTCTTTGTCGCTGTGTAAAACCAAAAAACTAATCAAGGCATTAATTTGCCTCTTCATCCATGATTTGATATAAAATTTAGTGATTGTAGATTGTTCTACAAGTAAAGAAAAGTGACAGTTTTCCAGGGAGTGAAAATAGTTTTCACGAGCTGGAAAACCACTTTTCTTGTGTAGAACATGCCATTTTTTCGCATACTTCGATGTTATCAGATTTGCGGAAAATATGTTGAAGAAAGTATCGAAAATAAAGTGGAAACTTCAAACAGGATTTTCAATTTTCTTAATGGTCAACAATTTCCGCAAGTATCAGTATTGACTCTATTTTTCCATCGACATCCGTAATCATATCAAGCAATAATTATTGTGATGTTTCTTGCGAAATGTTACCTTTGCAAGCTACCTTTTCAGATAAGAAGAATTGTACACCAGGATCTCACGATACGTTGCAGCAGTCACCTAGTCTTAAATTCTCTAATAATAATTGCACGTGTTATAAACCGTGAATAAACATTTAAAAAACTCATGTGACATTTCATTTTGACAGTTTGATGGGGAAAAGTGCTGCTAACGAGAAAAGTGGCACTTTTCTTTATCATTTTTGATGAAACAATGACGCATATTTCTATTAAGTAGGTACACGAAAAAATAGTGAATTAACTACAACAATTGTTGGTTTTGAAAAAATATTGTAAAAATGGACCCCAACATACATACCACAATCATTTCTCGTAAAAATAGGGGTTGTCTTTATTTGCACATTATTTTGATTTTGTAAATGTTTTAGTTAAATATTTGGTTAATACAGTTATCTATAAGTGCCTTTTACATTGAAAGATGTCACAATTTCCCACGATGGGAAAATAATCTAAAAACAAGTACATCGTGACTGATGCACCTAAATGCGCACTATTTTGTTAGAGGTAGGTAGGTATAAAGAGATTGTAATGTAACACGAGTGCTTTTATATTGAGATAGGAATTTTATCTTTCAACAAATATATCTATGCAAGCTGCAGTTCTATATGAAAGGATTACAAAAACAGGCCGCATGATAAATACTACACAAATCGAAATCTCTTGATGTTTATTTGAAATTGACGTTGAATGCAAAAAATCCCTTATAGGAGTGAACCTTACATGTAGGGTACGTCTACTGATGTTTCCGATTTATTAGACCAACCATGGCGGACAAAAAGTTACTACATACGCATTCCGCTAAATTTCCGCACATCACATATTACTTTATGATAATGATTATAGGTATTATTGTTTTTGTATATGTTACGGTTAAAGTATTTACTTGGCTAGTATATAAACTAGATGGATAGTACACAAACTATCCAACTGCCTGGTTATTTTGATGAAAAATCATATTTTCACTAAAATAGCTACGAGTAATGGCTGGTTTGTATACTATCCAGCTAGTTTATAAACTATACAAAATTTATCGCTAAAACACAAACCACAATGAAATTACACAAATTAGCTAGCATTTTTGGCTAGTTTGTAAACTATCCACATTAGTTGGATAAAGTGTGAACCTGATATTGGTAGTAATACATAATAACCAACGAGTTTGTTATTATGTATTACTCAACAAACTAATCAGTTCTCTTGGGTTAATTTAGTTTAAGATAGTAAAATCCTTAGTCAAAAATGGTTTCTTTATTGGTACAATGTAAGATTGTTACAGGTACCTATTATTACTTTAGAAAAAGTAAAAGAAATATAACTCAAATAATACCAGGTGACAAAATATTAACAATAAAGTATGTCAGGACATTAAAACCACCAAACAAAGAACAGTATTATTTGTTGGAGCAAGTTGCACTGTTGTGGCACTTACTATTACACGTATATCCAGACGCAAGACATTTACACTTTTTATTCGCACAACTCTTCTTGCAGTGACATCGCACATATCCTTGGGTTGAACCCGATACTGAAAATTTTCCTGCAGCGCTTCGTAATGTTATTTCGGTGTCCGTCTTGACATTTTCCAACTTTAAAAATTGTTGCTTACATATTTCAAATTCGTTGCGGGAATAAAGCTGTTTAAGAACACCGTGAACAGTTCCAATTCGGTAAAATTCATCTTCTACACTCATTATGACGCCCAATATATTTCTATGATCTGACCGACTTCGATCTACATCTGGAATGGGTACTCTCACGGACATGCCGACAGCTCCTGGTTTAAATTTCTTGCGAGAAGTTTGTAGCATTTTTTGTGCTTGCCTTTTTAGACTTTCCTGGCATGAATCCCTTATCGCTTTAATATTGTTTTTATTCTGACAATGGTCACACACGTTTTCATCAGAACATAATAAGCATTTTTGTGGTAATGATTCATTGAGAGCATTTTCTGTTGTTTCAGTAGAGAGCAATGCCATTGCTTGTTCTTTAAATAAAACCGAGGTTCTATTGTTAACTTCGAGTGAAACTGGGGTTTCAGTATTATTTTCGGGTAAAACTGGGGTTTCGGTATTAAGTTCGAGTAAAATTGGGGTTTCAGTATTATCTGCGAATACAACTGGCCTATGAGTATTATCGGGCAGCATAACCAGCGTAGCATTTTCAATTAAATCTAAAAGAAATTAGGTTGCATTGTGAAATAATGTGGAAATACTTTCTAGATACGTACCAGACAATTGTTGGGCGGCCATTTCCTCTTCAGTGACTGTAGATTTTTCATCGGGTACAAAATTATTTGAAGGATGTGAATCTTCTTCCACTTTATCCTCGGTGTCATTACTAGAAGATAATAATGTTTCCAGTTCCTCTTCTGTACGTATGGATTTAATGTTTGTGATAGAAACAGGGAGGTTATTTAAACCATCTCTACATTTTACACCATATAAAGCTTCATAAGGACTGCGTCCAATACCAGAATGAAAGCAGCTACAAAAAACAATGAACTGAAGTAAAACGTAACTTATACAAAGAAAAACACAGTTTCTTTTCTTAAATTTCAAAATACTAGCTTACTCACCGATTTTTTTGAAATTGAACGATTTTTAAACCTTCGCTCCATTTTGTCGAGTTATTATCTTTCATCCACGACGCTAACTTGTTCTCTATATCTTGGTTCGCCCTCTCCACTGAACCTTGTGATTGTGAATGTCTCGGTTTACCATGCACAATATGGCAGTCAGGCCACATTCCGACTAATTCCTCAATCACCTAAAAAAATCAATATGTATTGATTTTGTTTTATTTCATCCATAGCAGCAACATTTAGGGAATTTGAAATAAAGGACATGGCACTTCAAATTAAAAATCTCAACTTTGGGCCCATTTTTCCGGTACACCCAGTAGAGCTAGGGCTTTAGCGCAAAGGAAAAAGATCTTTTGATGTCAGCTACAACATATCAAAAATACAGGAGGCCAAAATGCCCATAAAAAGTGCCATGTCCTTTCTAGCGTGCCTTTTACCCTAATACCCACCTGGTTTGCAAATTCTCGGCCATTGTCGCTCTGCAACACGCAAGGGATTCCTAAGTCTGCAAATACTTCTAATAGGTGCTCAGCTACTTCTTTAGTTTTCATTGTTTTTAGCGCTCTCAACCTGACGTATTTGGTTAGGTGGTCTTGGTAGACAAAAATAAATTTGTAGTCACCATCTGGTCTAGTTTGTAAGTCAATGAGATCGATTTGGCATCGAGAGTTTAAATGGTTTGAAACAATTGGTTTAACAACAATTCCCTTTTTAGTTTTGTTCCGTTTAAGCTGACAATTTTCACAAGTTTCAATGAACAATTTTACCATTTCCTGTGTTAAGTTGTGATACTTTTCGTTTGTTGTTGCTTGACGCCCTCCATGTCCAGTTCCCTGATGGGCAGCTTTAATCGCATCATAACATTCACTAAAACGTAAAATAATCTTTCCAGATCTTCTATGTAGAATTACATAAGATGATTCGATTCTTTGTAAATCATAAGTATTTATCACATGATAATCACTCTTGTTACTACTGTCAGGTCCAGTTTCGCGTATTCTTTTGATACGTTGCAAAAGTTCACTATAATCGCTATCATTCATTAATTTTGAATTTTGCGACTTTTGGTCATAAACTTCTAATAATAGGTTTTCAAATTGTTGCTGTTGATTCATTTTTAATAACCCGATACCTATTATTAAACAAATTTCACGAAACACAACTGTACACCGTCACAGCACACAACACTTGACGAAACATAACCCCACTAAATTACCCAAAGAGAATTGGTTGGTTTACATAATAACCAACTCGCGTTGGTTGGTTTACAAAATAACCAACTCGTTGGTTATTATGTATTACTACCAATATCAGGTTCACACTTTATCCAACTAATGTGGATAGTTTACAAATTAGCCAAAAATGCTAGTTAATTTGTGTAATTTCCTTGTGGTTTGTGTTTTAGCGATAAATTTTGTATAGTTTATAAACTAGCTGGATAGTATACAAACCAGCCATTACTCGTAGCTATTTTAGTGAAAATATGATTTTTCATCAAAATAACCAGGCAGTTGGATAGTTTGTATACTATCCAACTAGTTTATATACCAGCCAAGTAAATACTTTAACCGTAACATATATAAGACGTCCACGTTCCCCGTCCACCTTCTGTGTGCAAGTTCAAGCCAGATGCGTCTCTTGTCTGCACTTATGACACGTCCCTTTCTTGAGTGGTACCACAATCGAATGGGATTTATGACTGCACGTATTACAGATCGGTCTGTGTCCCACGCCCGATCCCTCTTTAACACTTTCACATAATGCACATCTTGTAAGCTTGGTGCATTCACTTTCACAATTTAGACACATTCTACAAAAGTCGTAGGTGTGTAACATTTTTATTGTTTATCCCGTGATAGTGTCCTGAAACTAAAAAGAAAAAAAGTTAACATGTTTCATTCCTTCCATGCCCCTGAGGAATACCGGAGCCGGACTCTTCAGGGTTGCCTGACTCTCTTTAGCCATAGATCAGGAATGCAAGGATTGGTAAAGTTAGCGATGGGAACAGAAGGAACGGAGTTAGGGTTCTGAGAGGGAAGAGTACTCTTTCAGCATTCGCATCATAGATGTCAAATTATTGCTAGCATTATGTGACCCTACGTACGTCTGAGAAAAACCCCAGGCAGAGTAGTCGGTTGGACTGAAAATATGCACTCCTGGACCCGACAAGCCATTTCATTTTGGGGATATCTGTGGTAGCAGTACCCCCATCTTGATTTCTTGTCAAAATTAGGAATTATATAGGGTGTTTGGGTGATTCGTTTTGAAGTGAACATTTTTTTCGTTAAATATAAAAGGTGTCAAACCATTTCTGTAGATACCTACGCATTGGCATTATCAGGGGAAGAGACGTGGCCTCCAACCTTGCAACCACTAAGAAATTAAAAATTTAAAAAATTGAATGTCAATTTGTGATACACTTTTAGAAAGGTAAAAATTATCAATGCAAATTCGTAAACCGGCATACATATTTCAAAATCCCTCATTAACAAATACAATCCAATCGAAACGAGCGGCAAAATTTGTTTTTAAGTATCCTCAATGTGATCATATTAACCACATTTAATACCTTTGTGTGGGAGGGTTATAATTTAAACCTAAATGTTTAAACATTAATTAATATGCATTATGCAATAAATAAAATTTTTATTCGTTACTCCTACATGATACGCAAATTTACATGAAATACAGAACACCTTAACAATCTATATCGACCAAAAATGACATCCTTATATGGTTTGCTAATACAAAATATTTAGTAATTACAATATTAATCAGTATTACTACAAATAACATTGATGTTAACCTTTTAAGACACTCATGGCAACATTCTCCAATTTACCTATATTTATTGCAACGTAAATGCGCCTAATAGGTAAATAAAACTGGAATTATGCCATGTTTATATTCCTCTTATCATTTTATAAATTAACGTTAAATATATTTAAATAGTCACTTAAAATGTTAAAAAGAAGCATAACCCGGAGGGTAATTTAATTTAATAAGATAAAAAACTGTATAATTATGATAATCAACAACATAATAATACTAAATAAGCACTTGATATTATCAGACTGTCTACACACTGATAAAAGTGAATGAGGCAAGGATGTTTTTTAATTTATTTGCCTCCCATTTTGAAACGAATATCTTTTTTATTCGATAGCTGATAAATATTTTTGTTTTTCGCCATTTTCGCAAAGTTGTTTCATGAGAGATAAGAATTCAATTTAAAAGATTATTCACGTCGTTATCTAAAGCGGGGTTTTAAGGTTAATTGAATATGCGTTGGAGAGGACACTTAATATGTTATTTAATCTATTTGTGCGAAATTACCTAAAAAGTGAGGAACAAATGAATGCCGATATAACGTGACATTGAAGGGTCCACACCTACTTTATTGTGATGGCACGATTTCTCAATTTAATCGCGGTAGCAATGTAGCATACTATAAAAAGTACGACGTAATTTCTAAAATGAATAGGTATAACGATTTTGATAAATGTAACAAATGCCCCATTTTCCGCCCTGGAATTAACAAGGATTGCTTCAGTATAAGGAACATATGCTAGCCTCTTTGCAATTTTGATTTTTGAAGCCTGGTTATCTTCTAATACCCTTCTGCAACGGTGACCGGACATTAGGCCGCCAGACATTTGGACGCAGACATTGAAACGCGAACATTGGGACACGGAAACTGGGACGCGAACATTAGGACACCGATTCTAGGCTAGGACTAGACGTTTACGTTAAAGCGCATACACAGATGAAATAAGTAAATTAACATTGGTTTAATTTCGCTAAACCTTTTATTGTCTTACCTGCGACCTAATCTCTGCTTTGTAAGGTGATCTAAGCTAAATGATGCTTGCGGTCAACTGTCCGCGTCCCAATGTCCGCATCCTAATGTCTGCGACCCAATGTCCGCGTTCTAATGTCTGCGTCCTAATGTCTGCGACCCAATGTCCTCGTTCTAATGTCTGCGTCCTGATGCCTGCGTCCTAATTTCCGCGTCCTAATATCCGCGTCCCAATGTCTGCGTCCTAATATCCGCGACCCATTGTCCACGGCCTAATGTCTGCGGTCTATTCCCTTTGCGGTCTACTGTCTTGCGGCCTAATGTCATGCGGCCCAATGCCATAGTACCCTACAAACGTGGCATGATGATTCCGACTTGGGGCACTTTCAATCGATTTATGGTTTTACTCCTAACTACCATAGTAAAAAGATTTTCGCCCTAAGACGAGTAACTTTATTGCATTTTGCATGCATTGATCAGTACTTCCCAAATGCTATGTGAGCTATGTTTTTATTCACTAGAAGCATCTATAGTTACAATTTCAAAGAAACGTCTATATGTTGGCATTGCGCAGTCTGCGCATGCGCACATTTTATGTTTACAATATGCGATATGCTTTGCTTTACTAAAAGCGCCTGTGATTAAAATTTGCAAAAAAATATATTAATAAATAAGAAAGTTTATATTGCGCAGTCTGCGCATGCGCACATTAATCGTCAAGATTTTTCTTGACTCAGCTGCCAGAGCTATAACGAAATACATTGAAAATTGTAGGAGCAGTTGCAGCCTTGGACAGAAATTGGGCGCCATCCATGACAAAGTTCGCGATAATATGCAGTTAGCTAGCGACAGAATTAAAGTGCAGTACGACGTGAAAGCCCAAGCTGGTGGTTATCAACCTGGAGATCTTGTTTGGCTGTATCGTCTCCAGAGGAGACGCGGGCTATCCTCGAAATTACAAAGAGTTTGGGAAGGCCAGTATACAGTCCTGAAGAGAACAGACAAAGAAGTAAAAAGGGTTTCGCCCTAAGGCGAATAACTTCAGCGCTTTTTCCATGTATTGATCAGTACTTCCCAAAAGGCCATAGCTATGTGGGCTATGTTTTTCTTTACTAGAGGCATCTATGGTAAAAATTTCAAAGAAATAGCTCCATAAATGAGAAAGTTGACATTGCGCAGTCTACGCATGCGCAAATCTAGTTTTTACTATATGCGATATGTTTGCCATTCCTAGTGCATCTATCTGTAGATAAAATTTCAACAAAATATATTAATAAATGAGAAGCGCATGTGCAGTTTAATCGTTAAGATTTTCCGCGGCTCAGGTGCCAGAATGCAAAAAGTTCTAACGGTTCTGAAGATTTTTCAAGGGTTCTAAACAGTCTAAGAATATTCTGTAGAAAATTGGATTATAAGTGATTTTTAAGGGATCTGAAGATTCTAAGGGTTCTATAGATTCAAAGAAGCTTTTAAAATTCGGTTAGATCCCAAAAACATTTCTTTTGATTCCTCCCAAAGCAACAAAATATTTATTATTGTGTAAATTACATGGGGTGTTCGGTGTCGTTTCATTAGGTTGAGATCCAGCCACCTTTTAGTGTAAAAATACGTGGTCTGAATATTGGACATAGCAGTCAGAACATCCTGTATGTAACATAATTCAAGTTTTTCCTAAGTTGTGAGAATTTTTTTCAAATAGGCACAAAATTGGAAAATTTTGTCGAATTGTCATTTTAATGTTATAGTTGTTTATTCGGTAATTGTTTTTGTTTTATCTGGTCAGGTGTTGATAAAAAGTTGTTATCGGACAAGAATTAATTGGTTGTTTGACAAACAATGCCACGTGCGAGATAGGCGATGCAGGTGGTTTATCAGTTCTGGCGACGCGGAGGAATTTCAAGTGTCCTCGGGAATAACGATACTGAATTTGTGAGAAAAAGTGGGTTTTACCTAAATAGGACGAA